TGTATTCCGAGCTCACCGCACCGCTCAAGGCCTAGCAGCAGCACCGTGACTTCGGTCTGCTACACCGCCGCTTTTCCTTCATCCGTAACCCACTGCTGAGCTTCGCGTCTTGGTGATAAAGCTCTCCAGCACTCTCCGGGCCTCTATTTCATTCTTGGTTGCTCAAGCGACATTGCCAAACCTATGCAGGAGCTCCCATCCGCCCAACCAAGCCTCGTGTCATCTGCTCTCCCTCTCCGTCCGCGAAAAGTCCCCTGGTGAGTTCGCCATAGTCTCCTCTTTCTCTGCGTGCTTTTCCCATGTCAAACTGAGGCCCTAGGACATTTTCCATGTGTGCCGGCGACATTCTTGCCGCCGGCAATGGCTGACCACAACGCCAGAGTACTGTTCTGGCTGGCCACCATCTCTCTATTCCCTCCCATCTAATCTCAGTCGCCCATTGCAAGATCAACGGCTCAAATCAGCCGATACCCCTTTCACGGCTGTTTTGTTAAAGAGATCCTTGGCTTCCTGGAATTTAACCCGACGTCCTTGACGTGATCTGAATCTCGAATCCTATTTATTTTAATTCTAATTTAGTTCGTGTTATTTGTGAAACTGCCATCCAGAGCTTAAAATCATCTAATCTTATCCATTTTAAATCCGATTTCGGTGATTCTCGCGTATGTGTGTGTTCGTGGTGATGTGTAGATTAGTTTTATAAACTTTTCAACTTGTTTTACCACTATTGATGTACTGTTCTAATTATAGTTCTTGTTTGCTTTGTGCGTGATTGCGTGGATGCTTGTGTGTTGCTGTATTGATGATCGAGTGTAGACGGTGAGAAGTACGATGGTGAACAAGGCCAATACTTTAACGAGCAGGACCAGCAGGAACACTTTGAGTAAGGCAAGTATAGCATGGGTCTATCCTTATTACCTACACACTTTATAATCATTATAATTCATGTTGCATGTGTCTAGTTTTACTACGCCTAAGGAATGATCTATCTTTTGCGATCTTGATACCTTGACAGCTATGGGTTTACTTGCATATGGGTAGCATTTGCTAGCGCTCAATTTAATTATACATGATCTGAATAATAACTAATGGCTTTATGCAACAAAGGATAAAACTTGCTTTTTAGCAACTTGGTTATAGGGCAAAGGAGCTCTAGGCTTTTATACATGATGCTCTTGGCCCTCCCTACGGACCAATCTAAAGAAAAATCCGGAACTTATAGTATAACCGTGAGGGCTACATGGCTCTAGCTTTAGTTCAGTTCAAGGACCTTTTTCTAGCTTCTTAGTAGTTACCTTTATGGCACAAAAAGGGCTTGACACGATGGGTATGGGACCGCCTATGTTCCTATGTGTATAGCCGTGATGGAATTTGCCATTCGTAAGAGGGGTTCCAACATCTGCTTGCAATCGAAACCTATAGCGGCTACTAACTTGTTAGATGAACATTTGAAAGAATTCATAGTGTACCTTGCCTGCTCACCTTGCAAGTGTTTTTGGAAGTAATTAACTAGGCATATGGTCAACACGACTCATGGTGAAAGTGTACAACCTTTGCAGAGTGTAAAACTATTATAAAAGCTGTGCTCACGATCACGAGTGGCCTAGAAAACTTACGAAATATTGCTTACACTATGATGATGTTGATATATGATTAAAATTGGTCTCATTTGTGATCATGTGGTTTAATTAGGGCTCAAACATAACTTGTTGCTGTTTAATGCTAAAATTGTGACTCAATAAAATGCTAAACGCAGTAAACCATTGTCATCCTTTTGAGCTTCATAACCCCATGTTATTCTTGTTGAGTACGAGATGTACTTACGCTTGTTTATTTTTACTACTTAGATAAAAATCCCGGATGGGTAACAGATTATGATGGTTATGATGAGTTTCCTACGGATTATTTGACTTGCGATCAACCAGTTGATCGTTCGTGTGGCTATGAAGGTGTCATGGAGTTATCTTTATTTATTTACGCTTTGTGAGACTTTGATATTTATGTAATGGATCAACACTCGTGATGTAGTAAAGCAATGTGCTTGGTATTTATGTGTGTGATTGTTTCTTGGGCACACATATAAATTGTACCCAGCTTTTTCTTTAAAATTGGGTATGACATTACCTTATCCTCATGTTTCTTTTAGAATCATTACCTTATCCTCATGTGTTACTGCCAATTGTGTAATTACTAAATCAGTCTTAAGGATCTTCGACACGGTCCATGATGGACTTACCTCTACAGTCGACCAGTGGTAAAATGGTCAACATGGTGAAACTAAAATATCGATGGTCCACATGGTGCCACGCAACCAGTAACGAAAATTAGCCAACCAAAATGGCTGACAACATGGTCAAATTAATCGGTCTTTCACACCGTAGAAAAAAAATGTATTTTACAAAAAAATCCGGGAAAATACGTATGCAAATCCATTTAGAGTCCTTTCCGTCCCTCAGGAAATTATCAAAACAATCCACCACCACCAAGAATCCTATTTAATTCCGAAGATCAACTCAAGTGTTTCTTGCCACACTACACGTCCAAATAAATTACCTAAAAATCTCGCCTTATCCAAAAGCCCCAAAATGCAGCATACCCGATTCTATTCTCCAACTGAATTCCAAAACTTGCAAAATTATATAGTACTGTACAAGCTTATTTATAGTTTGGTGAAACCTCTTGCGCTACAAACAAACTTCTCAAACTATTATTTTATTGGTATGTGACATCCTCACTTCCTCCATCTAAAAAAGGTGTTTTAGGATTTTTAGGGTAGAGTAAGAAAGTTGTGAAATAACCATTGAAGACCCTATTAATTAGGGGTTGTTCCAGTTATCAAATGCCGAGGCTAGTGTTTGTACAATGAGGCCAGTGGAAGCTTTCATTTCCCAGTTTCCAAGACAGCCACATCAGAATGAACTAGCATGAAACTGGGTCTCTCAATGCACAGTTTCATTACACTGTGTCATAGTTGAGTTGTAGTATTTAATTCCTACATGGTGTTGTGATCATATGTGTCAAGTAAACTATGTGGCCTTGTGAGTTGTGATCAAATGTTGGATATGATATGCGCAGCCGGCAATAGACTTAGATTAAGGTCTCATGCGGAGAGATTAAACAGGTGCTGGTAGAACCATTACAAATCTCATATCAACACAAAAAGCAGATAGCCGTCGACTCGGACTATGCAAGTGTCAAAAGTAGTATAGCGACAGAAGCCAACAATGTGATATCTCAATTAAATCCATCCGCACTTTTGCAGGAGCAAAAACAAAGATTAATATTTGGTGATTAGCAGGTCGCGCAGGGAGGCAGGGGAGGCATTGGACAGCTGCCGCCAGGAGCGAGACATCGGACCGCCGCGACCACTGCTGAGCATCTTGGATGCATCCCAGATACGGGATAGAAGAGGACGCATGAACGGGGAGGGGATTGATGGGAGAAGTGCTGAGCGTGCGGATGGAGTTGGATGATGCAGCCAGGATCGGCGGCGCCACACGGGATCACAGATGAAACACTCTCTGCTCTCAACGCTAGTTTCATTCAGTTTCATCGTATTGGTAACGGTGCCAACCAAGTTTCATCTCCATGAAACTCTAATATTCTCTTTCTTCTTAATTAACCTGTTAACTCATCACAAATGCTGATGTGGCATAGCAATAAATGAAAATGAAACTCTGTTGAAACCTGCATTGAGACTGGCCTGAAGCATGTTGATCTAATGTATGTGGGCCTCACTAAGTCTTTAAGTGCTAGAACGATATGTTTGGGGGGACAAAATAATTTGGAACCTAGAATGTCAAAGGTTTTTGGGAGCTAGGTAGTAACCGAACTTAAGCTCTAGAAAGTCTCCCACCCAATCCAAGTTATTAGAAACCCTTCTTCTGGGTCATTCATTTCCAATTTGACATCACGTATAGTTGATGATTGAATGCATGTTTGTTGATCTCCATTATGCTAATGTTGCATAATATAGAGCTACAAGACCAAAAGCAAAGGATCTTGAAGACATGCTAAAACTATCAAGACCGTCGACAAGGATCGAAAGAAGAAGCCAAGGATCTTCATTACAATGTAAAAAATAGTGTTAGTCCAGGTGTAATATTAACTATTAAGATTACTCACCAAATCTAAATCATTGATCAAACTGAAGTAACCCAGTAAATCTAAATGATGTACATATATCATTATAACAAAAATATCTCAAAATATTTCTTTATATGCTTCTATGCTACTTTTTTGCACCATTTTAATATAGAAGCAATAATTCAGTATATAAAAAGTTTAATATATTTTATAAGTGTAAGTTGTTTTTAAATATAAGCTAAAGTAATTCTTGAAGATAATTACCAGAGAAGATCATTAAGAAAATATCCCACAGGATTATATATATGTTTCTAAAATCATGTTATACATGTTTCGTGAGTGTCACTATGTAGTATGCATTATGTTGATGAAGCCATGATCATTTATACATTGCTAAAGCTAACTTTTTCAACTCAACACATATAGAGATGCGACAGATCTCAAACCGTCAGATCTCAAACCAACAGCATCAGGCACTTCAACATGGCTTGTACTAAAGCCTGGTTCCAAAACCTTCATGAAGTCTCGGGGAAGTCCCGGCTTCTGCCACCGCCGAACCGCGCGGGCGCAACCGGCGGCGCCCGTGGTCACGCAGGCATGAGCCGCCTTCGCTGGAGCCGAGGTGCGGCGCGGGTGTGCCCGGGCCCGGGGCAGGCTCCAACTCCGCAGGCCACTCTTCCCCTTGCCGGAATCAGCAGTGCCGACCGCTTGTTCTGCTCAGCTCCGGTGGGGAAGAATAAGGGGGGAAACCTCGTACGAGCGAGGGGCGCACGGGGCTGCTAAATTACTTTCCTGGTTGCTGATGATTAACAAACTCCAACGATACTTGTTTGTCTATCTGAGCACTTACAGTCTTTGTATAGCAGTATACACTTTATCAACAGAGAAAAGATCAACAGAGAAAAGATGAGCACTCAAATTTTCCAACCACGGCGTTCGCCATGTATCTGCAATAAATAAATACTTATCCTACTACACTTTTTAAAACGACTGGAACAGAAAAAGAAAAGGCCCGTCAACACTGTATGGCCATACGCGGCAAGGCCGCGAGTATTTCTAGTTAAAATAATCTCATACAGCCGCACGTGCTAATCTCTGCGACCTGACCTGATCTGATGAAATATTCACTTGCGCACCATGGTTGAAAATAAATGAAAGGCGAGCTGATGGACACATCTTTAAGTGTATAATAACTACGCACCTCTGCGTTTGCTTGGTCGCTAGTGTCTTGGTAGTCTTCAAGCATGTCGCAGATGTCTAAAGCGACGTCCTTGAGCCGCTTCAGCCATAGCTGCACCCGTTTCTCCTTGACTGATCGCCTCTCGGTGTCCTCCAGCACAGCTGAGATGTGCTCAAGATCATCCTTCATGTTCTCCAGGTCGTCACTGGCCTGCTCTGCGATGGCAGAGCCCAGCTTATCTTTGGCGATGTCGACGAAACCGGATGCGAGCAAGGCAGCTACTTCTCCCTCCATGGCTAGGTGCAGAGCTCTGAATGGGTCTCGCACTCACGGTTTGTGTGGAATGTGTTAGATTGATCTCTAACCTAACTGGACCCAACGGCTCAGTTGGGCCTTTGATTCGCGCTCTGATCGGGGGCCCCCAGCCCACCATGGCTAGAGGACCCCTGTCACCCTGCGCTATAAAAAGAGGTGGGGGCCGGTGGCTCTTATCACGAGGTTCACTTGAGCCGAGCTCCCCACCGACAAAACCCTAATCCAATCTAGAGGGCGCGTAGCCAGTGACGGGAAGCCACCAGCCGCGCCGCCACCGGACTTCACTGCCTTCACCGCCGGTCGCCACTGTGCATCACCTCTTCACCGACCGTCGCTGACCATGCGCAGACTTCACCAACGAACCCGATGGCAGCCTCTGAACCCTCCCCCTCCGCAGTGTCAGGTTTGTCAGACCTCATCCACCCCTCTCTGTCTCTCTATCGCTGCACGAGAACGCATCCTAGGTCCTTGTTTCATCAAGCACCCTGGCTAGATATACTCCTAGATGATCCAAATAGTCTAACAATGGTATCAGAGCCCGTGTTTTCTAGGGTTTTAGATCTAGAACGGGTTACCGACCTAACCCTAACTGGGTAGCTGAGAAAAGAAGAGGGTTCTTTTGAACCCTAACCCTAACTGGGTTAAGGAAAGGAGAAGAAGAAGAGGGTTTCGACCTTAAGAACGTAAGAGCCGAATCGTAAACCCATAAAAGTCTTCAACGGGGAAGAGAAACAGTAAAACCCTGACCCTAACTTCGATCCCCATCCCAAATCGGTTCAATCCGAGCACCAGAAGAGAACCAAATTCGAAGGGGAAGAAGGGGAAAGGGAGGCCTACCTCGCCGCTACGCAGTGCTGCTGTCACGTCGGCGCGCGGGGAGAAGAAGGCCGAGCCCGGGGGGAGCTGCTCGCCGGACTCAGGCCACAGGGGCGCCGCGGCCAGGCCGCTCGATGACGGCCCGCTCACTCGCTAGGGAGCGCGCATGCCGGCGAGGGGGCCGGTGACGGCGCCCGGGCTCTCTGCTCGCTCTCGCCGTCGTTGCTCGTCGCTCAGGATCACTCGGCTGAGAGAGGGAAGAGAGAAGAGAAGGCCGAATGGCCGCTAGGGTTCAGGGACCGTGGCCGGGGGCAGTTTTGTTCGCCCGAAGACACCGCGCAGCCGTCCGATCGGCTCCAACGGCGCTAGATGCACGGGCCAGTGTCGCGTCCCAGGCGGGCAAGCACGCCGCGGAGCTTTGCTGGCCTAGGCCCATGTTGCGGCCTAGGTGGCAGCTCGCGCGCGAGCAGGCGATGGGCCAAGCTGGCTTTTTGCCGGTTTTGGGCCGAAACAGTAAAGAATGAGCTTGGTTTCGCATTTTTCTTTTTCCAGAAAATTGAAAAATGGAAATTTGCTCAAAAGAAAATAGAAAAGGAATTTTCCTGTGGGTAAAACTCATTAAATTGAATTATTTTCTGCTGCGTATTTAAAGATGTTATTTTCATTATTAAATTTGAACCAACGGGAGAATTTAATTTTAAAAATGGATATGTTTTAATTGATTATAATATTGTTATTATTCTGACCAACGTTGATTAATGGCAATATTATGATGTTTTGTCATGCATTAATTCTATTTCTGCCCAACGGTGATGTAGAATTAGTGTAGAGGACAATTGTATGTTTTAATTTTGACCAACGTTAGAACTAAGGCATGCAATTGTTATTGTTATTATTTATGTTCTCACACTATTTGAATTGTGTTTTCAGGCGGATACAATTTGATGAGTTGTATCAAAGAAATCCCCACTCTCAAAGGTGATAACTACATTGAGTGGAAGAAAAAGATCCACCTGGCCTTCATCTTGGCTGAGGAGGACTGGGTAGTCACCACACTGTGTCCCACAGAGCCTGTGGCACCAGTGAGGGAGACAAACGAGGCTGATGCCGCTTGGGCAACCAGAGAGAGGGATTTTGCATCCCTAAAGATGTCCTATGACCTTGAGCATAGGAAATGGGTCACTGCCAACAAGAAGTGTTTGGCTGTGATAAAGAACACGATTGAGCCTGCAATTGTGGGCTCAATCCCAGAGTGTGACATCGTCACCGAGTATCTCGAAAGAATAAAGAGTCAGTTCACTGGCTCTTCAAAGACATATGCTACCCAGTTGATAAAGTAGCTGGTGACAGAGATATACTCAGGTAATGGTGGCATAAGAGAGCACATACTAAGGATGAGCAATCTGGCATCCAAGCTAAAACCAATGGATCTGGCTCTCAAGGATGAGTTCCTTATCCATTTGATTTTTGCTTCCTTGCCAAAAGAGTTTCCCCCCCATTGTTGTCAACTACAACATACAGCCCGAGAAATGGTACATGGAGAGGCTCATGGCTATGTGTGTGCAAGAAGAGGAGAGAATGAAAGCTGCCAATGGTGGCACTATCAATTATGTGAAAGACAACAAGAAACAGAATAATAATGCCAACTTCTCCTCAAAGTCAAAGGGAAAGGGCCCCATGCTGCATAAGCCTCAGCAGAACCAGTTCACAGTAGAGAAAGACCAATGTCTCTATTGGAAGAAGACGGGACATTATAATAAAAATTGTCCCAATTACTTAAAGATGATCATGGCAAAGAAAGGTGAGAACATTATTACGTTCATAAATGAATCCCTGTATGTACAGTATTCAAAATCTACTTGGTAGATTGACTCAGGTGCAACTGTTCATGTTGCTAATTCTTTACAGGGATTCCATTCGACGAGGACTACGGAAAGAAGCGAAAGACACGTTAAAGTAGCAAATGGAGTCCAAGCAGAAGTTGAAGCCGTTGGTGATCTTTCTGTAGAGCTTGCTGATGGTTTTAAACTTATACTTAGAAATGTTCTTTATGTTCCCTCGTTACAGAGAAACTTAATAAGTGTTTCATGTTTGGACAATGATGGATATGATTGCCATTTTGGAAATGGCAAATGTAAGATAACATTTAATGATGCATGTGCTGGTCTTGCTATCTTACAAAATGAGCTTTATTTGTTATCACTACGTGATGATGTGAATGTTGTATGCGATGATGAGAACATTGCGTGCAACAATGTGAATGTATCCTCGTCTGTGGATGCAAACAGAAAACAAAAGAGAGCTCACGATGTGTTGTCAAAATTATGGCACTGTCGTTTAGGCCATATTTCGAGGGGGAGAATAGAAAGACTAGTTAAGAATGAGATTCTTCCTCCATTAGAGCTCTCAGATTTAGAACAATGCAGAGATTGCATAAAAGGAAAGTATGTAAAGAAAATTAAGAAAGATGCCAAATGAAGCGCAGGAATTCTATAGATTATTCACACAGACTTCTGTGGTCCCTTTCCTGTAAAGAGTGTGGATGGTTATGATTCATTCATAACATTCACAGATGATTACTCCCGTTATGGCTACATTTATCTAATCAAAGAAAGAACAGAAGCATTGGATAAATTTAAGATATTTAAGACAGAAGTTGAAAACCAACACAATTTAAGGATTAAGATAGTCAGGTCTGACTGTGGGGGGGAGTACTACGGTCGGCATACCCCATATGGCCAAGTTCCTGGACTTTTTGCAAGGTTCTTACAGGAGAATGGCATAGTAGCCCAGTATTTTACATCGGGCGAACCTCAGCAGAATGGAGTAGCTGAAAGGCGCAATCGTACCCTGATGGATATGGTGCGCAGTATGATAAGTTACTCCACCTTACCGATGAGCCAGTGGATGGAGGCGTTAAAAACCGCCATTCATATTCTCAATAGAGTACCAAGTAAGTCGGTGCCCAAAACACCGTATGAGTTGTGGACAGGAAGAGTACCCTCACTAAACCACTTTCATGTGTGGGGGAGTCCTGCTGAGGCTAAAGTATTTAACCCAAGCATTAGGAAGCTAGATCCTAAAACGGTGAGTTGCCATTTCATTGGTTATCCAAAAAAGTCAAAAGGTTTTCGTTTCTACTGTCCAGATAGACATACAAAGTTTATGGAAACAAGACACGTTGTTTTCCTAGAGAATGAAATGATGAGGGGGAGCATGGTAGCTCGAGAAATTGACCTTGAAGAGAAGCGGGTGTATGCGCCCACTCCGATGATTCATGAGCCATTTTTCTCACTGCCTGCTGTCGCTGCACCGATAGTACAAGATACTATGGTGCCAGCACCTGTTGTTATTCCGCCTGTGGCAACAATGAATGACAATGAGGAACCTGTTCTTCAGGATCCTATAGAACCAATTGCCACACATGAGGGGGAGCAACAACAGCCTCAAACAGAAGATATGCCAAATGTGGAGGCCCCTAGAAGGTCTCAAAGAGTTAGAAAATCAGCTATTCCTGCTGATTATGAAGTGTACAACACTGAGGAATTTCAAATGGAGGATGATCCCACCTCATTTGAAGAAGCCATGAGAAGTGATCATTCATCAAAGTGTCTTGAGGCCATAGAAGATGAAATGAAATCTATGAATGCCAATAAAGTTTAGGATTTGGAAATAATTCCTAAAGTAGCCAAAACAGTAGGCTGTAAATGGGTCTACAAAACAGCACTTGACTCTCAAGGGAATATAGAGAGATATAAAGCGCGACTTGTGGCAAAAGGCTTTACGCAAAGAGAAGGGATTGATTATAATGAGACCTTTTCTCCAGTCTCATGTAAGGATTCCTTCAGAATCATAATGGCATTAGTGGCACATTACGATTTAGAATTACATCAGATAGATGTAAAGACGGCATTTCTCAACGAGGACTTGGAGGAAAATGTTTACATGGCGCAACCGAAAGGTTTTGTCATGGAAGGAAAAGAACGAATGGAATGCCGCCTAAAGAAATCCATTTATGGATTAAAACAAGCTTCAAGACAGTGGTACTTGAAGTTTGATCAGACAATAAGAAATTTTGGGTTTAAAGAGAATGTAGAGGACAATTGTGTCTACACAAAGTTTAAGAATGGGAAGTTCATCTTCCTTGTCCTGTATGTGGATGA